GGGGGGGGGGGGGTTCTATTTTCCTGCACTAGGGTTGTATGTTTCTCAGGATTGCATATATTTGAAATACAATAAGTGACATATGCCATGGTTTCTTGTAGTAGACTTTGTTTTGATTTCAGACTGTTTCCTGCTTGTTTTTGGGTAAACGCTTTTAAAGTAGGGCCTTGCCGGAAGTCTTATGGGTTATGACAAGGGGTTATGGAGGTTGTAGTCGGGTTTGCTTGATTTCCTGGGTCTCTATTTACCTGGGGTTTCGACAGGAGCTTAAACCAACAGCGCTAAACCCCAAGACCCCCGAAAACGCTTACCCTCATTTGTAAATCCGCTTCCCTAAATCGTGATCCTACCTTAAACCTAAGCCCTAGGTCTTAAACCTAGGCCACAAGCCCGATTCTCCCTAAACTGGGTTTAGGGTTTACAGTTTAGGGNNGTTTAGGGTTTAGGGTTCTTGTTCAGGACTTTAAGTTACAGTACCATAATACGAAAAGCCGGTTCTTTTACTATAGATCCCTATCATGGCAGTTCCTTAGCAAGAGCCCAGTAAACATCGGTCTGCCATAGGTGGTTGTCCAAATTCGCGTCTCTATTGGGTTCCCAAGCTGCAGGGTGCGTCTGAAGAGGAGAATCATAACCCTAAACCCTAAACTTTAAACCCTAAACCCTAAACTTTAAACCCTAAACCCAAAACTTTAAACCCTAAACCCTAAACCCTAAACCTTAAACCCTAAACACTAAACCCTAAGCTTTAATATAGGCTTCTCCAGAAGGGCTATAACTTGGAGAGCGGGACCCACGTGAAAGGAGCCTGGAGCCTCTAGGGGCTCTGAACCTCTCTCTTTAAAGCCCACTGGCAGCCCTTATGAAATCCGAAAAGCACCCCCATAATGAGGCCCTCTGTTTAGGGTTTGGGGGTTTCGGTCGGGGTTTAGGGGTTTAGGTTTTGAGGTTCTTATGAAGTGCTTCTCAAAGGTTTAAGATTTTATCAAAATCTGTACAGTCTTTCCCAATCCCTATGAAATTCCTGTTTGGAACCCGTTTCGTTGCTCCCCTTGCGTTTGAGGACCAACCTGGCCTGCCCCCACTCCAAAGCAACTGGACGCCCGCTGTAGATGCCACTCGGTGAAAGCTTCAATCAGTGCCTAAGCCTTCAGCGCCCCCAATATGCCCTTGGAACCCTTTCGGGTTTTGTGGTTTAGGGCTTGGGTGATTTGGGTTTCAAGGTTGGGCCAGAAATCACACATCTCAAGCCTCTTGATGGCTTTTCTCTCAAGTAGGGGCCCTTGTTTAGCTGCTTATCGTAAAAGTGCGAATGCTGTCGGGATCCATAACATCGGTCCTTATGAGCGGAACTACCCCAAACCCCGTACAAAGCCTGGTCACTTCAGAGAACTCTTCTACAACTCCAAACTCTACCCTGCACAACAACTCCCGAGCCCTGCCCCCCCAAAACTCTGAGACCAAAATCTTAAATAGCCTAAACCCTTACAGTCGCAGAAGCTTTGTCTAACTCCAAACCGAGGAGAACATTCCCTTAAACCCTAAACCCTAAACCCTAAACCCTAAACCCTAACCCTAAACCCTAAGCCCAAACGCTTTTCCACGGCCAGAACCTTAAGCCCCCAGAGGGGCCCTAAACCCTAAACCCTAAAACCCCTAAAAGCCCTAAAAGCCCTAAAAACTTGAAAACCCTAAAAACCCTAAAAGCCCTAAACCCTAAACCCCCTAAACCCTAAACCCTAAACCCTAAACCCTAAACCCTAAACCCTTAGCCTTCTACGCCCTAAGCAGAAGCCCTGCAGTACTGAGGAGGGCTTCCTGGAGATCCCGAAAGATCCTGCCCGCAGCCTTTCGAAGCGCCTCGGGTTCTTTTGGGGGGCCTGGTTTAGGGTTTAGGATTTAGGGTTTAGGGTTTAGGATTTAGGGTTTAGGGTTTAGGGTTTAGGATATTTAGGGCTTAGGATTTATGGCCCGGACACCATAGGGGCGCAAAGAATAACCAGCATTCTTCCGAAGGTGCCTGAATATAAGTATACTTGGAGGTTCATGGGTAGTTATAAGTGGAGTTATAAGTCCCCCGATATAGGTTATAACTATAGTTACCCTACTTCTAACCCTACTTATAACTGCCCATGAACCTCCAAGTACTGTAGCAGCCTCGAGCCTGAATAACTAGTAAAGGGTTCCTTTACTGGTTGGGGTTTGGGTCTAAATTCAAGCTCTTATAGGTCTCCATGACGCAGGGTTTGTGCCTTTGCATTTGCAGAGGGTTTGTATTTACATGTAGTGTTTTTTGTATATAATAGGGATGTTTGAATAGTGAGTTTAGAGTCTAACAGGGCATTTTGTCGGGGCATTGAGGGGTCGGCCTGTTATGGGGAGGCCCACTATGCTCCTTTTCCACGGAGGGATGCATTAATCAGGAGTCCATCAGAAGCCTTAAAAACCCAAACATTAAGCCTTGAACCCTAAACCCTGAACCCTGATCGTCTGTCTACACTACCCGGTTTGGAGTTGTCCGGGCTCTGCAAGGCTGTGTGGAGTTCTATCAGAGTGTAGGATTGGGGGGGTTTAGGGATTTAGGGATTGAGGATTTAGGGCTCTAGAAGGGTGTAGGAGAAATTGCAACGAACACTCACCGCCTTGTCCGTGTGGAGGAATGTTGTGGTGAAGGCTTGTGCGTCCAATGCTAGCCCCACGCCCTTAACCCAAAGCCACAAGCCTAAACCATAAACCTAATTCCTCTGCGAAAAGTATAGCCTACCTCCCATGCGCTAATCATCTTTGAAGCAAGGCTTCAGCGCAAACACCACCCGATTACGAGTAGTAACTAGTGGTGGTAGCAGTAGTCGTCGTCGTAGCAGGAGGATTAGGGGAGGAGGAGGAGCAGTAGGAGAAGGAGTCGGATTGATGGGAGTAGAGTGGTGATGGTAGTCGTAGTGGTTGTTGTCAGGGACGCTTGCGATTGTAGAACTGCATTCGTGATGGAGCCCCTGTGTAGTAGCTGCCTGAACAGTCGGAGGCCAGAAGACTAGTGAAAATAAACGGTAATTGTCATAGCGACACTTATCACAACCACAGTGAGCTGATGGTAGTTTTCAGCCGTAAGGACAACGTTAGTAACGAAGCTAAGAGCCATGTTAATGCGAGCAGGAGAAGTACATCCGCGTTCATTGGTAGTTGAATGAGGGTTGGACACACTTTGTTGTGGGTTGCAGGTAGCTACTGTCATAGCTGCCATGCAACTGGAACATACATGCCCATGATCCCCAATGTAGCGGTCGACATGAGAGTTCGAGCAAAACTCGGAACCCTTTACATAGACTCTAGATAGTAAGTTATTCCACAGAAAGCGGTTTCTAAAATTCACATAATGTGGAAACCTAAAGCCAACCTTTACAAGCCCGTCTACAACTTAGACCAGCCTTATGCAATCCCACAAAAAACAGCCCTCCGAAGTTTGTTAAGGGGAACCCTTATACAAATCCTAATGTAGGGGCCTTCATTGCTACCAATATTATTTTGGGGGTTCCCCATTATGACTACAATATTCCGATACCCCAAACCCTATTCTAAACCCT